GATAGATAGATAGATAGATAGATAGATAGATAGATAGATAGATAGATAGATAGATAGATAGATACAGTAGATAGGTAGGTGTTTCTGCTGGCACAGCACTTGATTAATGTAATTCTCATCAATCAGTTAAAGAGCTTTCCAAAAGGGAAAAAAAGTTTTTGCACTCTGCAAACCTCCCAAAAACGGCCCCTTTTTTGCAAAAATGGGCCTGGTTTCCCCCCCCCCCCCAAAAGGCATGAATAGCCTTGGTGGGGGAACTTGCAGAGTGCTCCTGTGGGGTTGGGGTTGGGGGGCAAAAATGAGCAAAAAAGGCATTTTTTGTGAAAATGGGCCCATTTTTGTCAAAAAAAACCCCTGTATGCATAGCCTTATGGAAGCTTATAGAGTGCTCCTGGTGGCCTGGGGGGCAAAAACAGCCCATTTTTGCTCATTTCTGCCCTCCCCAGCCCCCAGGAGTTCTTTGAAAGCCTTCATAAGGGTATGCACGGCCATTTTGATGAAGGGGCGGGGCTTTGGGAGGCAAAAAATGCTGTATTCAGTGTATAAGGCACACCCAGATTTTCATCTTATTTTCTGAAGAAAAAAACATGTGTCTTATACTCTGAAAAATACGGTAATGCCTAACATATTTCTCACAATGACCTTGTAAAGAAACCTAACAGCATTCATCAAATACTGAAAGGATGTCACAGAAAAGAATGTCATGACCTACTCTTCATCAATTGAATAATGAATTTAAATTTTGTGTGTGTGTGTGTGTGGAGGTTGTGGAAAGAACCAATACAGACTGTTTCATAAAAATAATTCCATTTGGAAAGGAGGCACCTGTCAAAGACAAGGGAGCATGCCCCGCGTGGCTTCTTCAAACAGCCGAAGAAGGAACAGAAGGGGAGTTACATGCCGGGTTTTTCCAACAGCCAAACTCCTCTTCTGTTCCTGCAAGGCATGCTCCCTTCTCTTTCATAGTCACCTCATTTCCAATTGGGGGGATCCATGCTGAGGGAGGAAAAGGGAAAGAGAGAGAGACAGACAGACAGACAGACAGACAGACTGACTGACTCACTGACTGACTGACTGATTGACTGACTAACTGACTGCATCAAGCTAGACTAGGAAAGCTGACTGTGAGAGGAAGAGAAGCTGGATAAGCTGGACCCAGATGCTTCCTGGCCCCCTCACCCCAAAAGCAGCAACGTCACACTTCTCCCTTCCCTACCCACTCCCTTCTTCACAGGGATTGCCCAGTGGCAGAGTGGGAGAAAGGGCCAGCAGTGGCTGCTAGAATGAAGCGAAGAGTGCCACACAGAAATGGGAGCATATATAAATGCCACCCTCTTTGCCCTCTCCATCTCTGTTGCTGGACAATCCCATATGAAGAAGGGGGATAGCAGAGAGGGGTAGAGTGTGAGAGCGGTAGAGTGCTGCCTCTCAGAAACTGCCGATTTTGGCCCAAAAACCTCTCATCTTTAATGACAAATGAAGAGTCAGTATCACAGCATTCTTTTGCCTCCAGAAGGCAAAAATTTCACCAACGAGTACGTCTGTACTGGTCAATATCAGCTGAAACCCACCCCTAGTTCACACACATATACAGGGTTCATCCGGTGTCCATTAAGAAGCCATTTAGAAGTCTAAATTTAGACTTCTAAAAGAGTAGCAGACATCATTATTTTTAATAAATGAAACATTGACTAATACTTAGCATTGTCATTTTATATACCATCAAACTTAATTAATGCAAGTTTTAGCTTCATCCATTTTGATTGTCCTGCATATATGTGTGTCTGTGTTGTTTCCAATCTGTTTCTTTTACTCCCAAATACTCCCTTAACAAGTCCATGCATTTTTTTTGCAAAGATTTTTTGGAAGTAGTTTGCCTTTCCCTTCCTAGTGCTTAGAGAGAATGACTAGTCCAAAATAATCAGCTAGCTTTTTGTGCCTAATGTGGGGGCTAGACTCCTGGTTCCTAGTTTGATACCTTAATCACTATGTCAAACAGACTGTCTTTAATGTTCATATATATGATTTAATCTGAAACCTATCCAATGTTTTAATCCTTACTATGAGAGATGATCACCAATATTTTTTTTAATTATCTCTAAGAGTTAGGTTTGACAAAGCTGAAGGATACATTACATGACCTCCATAAAACTCCATATTTGTGAAAATCTCTCTGCCAGCCCTGGTGGTCATCTTTTCTTTGGATCTTCAGGACTGCCACACTTAGTGCTATGGTAAAGTGTGTTGGCAATTTCATGGAGTTGGTAGAATTATTTAGCCATAACAACATTCTTTTCTCTGAGAGTCAAGGATGTTCAGACTGTACCTGGAGAGGCGTGACTGGGCAGCATCTTCAGTTGGCACAGTGGATTATTTGGACCATGTGATGGACATTTGGGTGCAGGGAAAAGGACATTGATTTTCCCTTGGTGGGGAAAACCTGGGAGCTTTCAGATTTGGGTTTTCCCAGATGTGCCAATATGCCAATAATATTTATTATATCTAATAAAATGGATCTTTGAGGAACTGCCTGCCCTGGAGTCTTACTTGGTTGGGAGTATTACTTGGAACCTTGACAGAAGTAGGGGCTCCAAACTTTTTAACAACTGGTTCTCTGCCCTAATGGCTTAGTGGGTAGGGGTGACTAGGGGTGGTGGCTGGGGGGGGGAATCATGGGACTGAGTGGGTATAGCCAACTCTATGTCACTTGTGTGAGTGGTACCTATATGGAACATGCAGGATTCAGGTGGGAATCCAGGGGCCTCCAGTGGGGTGGGGGAGGAGAAAATGAATATCCAGTGTGTGTGTGTGTGTGTGAGAGAGAGAGAGAGAGAGAGACTGACTGACTGACTGACTGACTGTCTGACTGCATCAATCTAGACTGGGAAAGCTGACTGTTAGAGGAAGAGAAGCCTGGCCCCCCTCATCCCAAAATAGCAGTGGACTTATATACCGCTTCATAGGGCTTTCAGCCCTCTCTAAGCGGTTTACAGAGAGTCAGCATATTGCCCCCAACAATCTGGGTCCTCATTTTACCCACCTCGGAAGGATGGAAGGCTGAGTCAACCCTGAGCCGGTGAGATTTGAACCGCTGAACTGCTGATCTAGCAGTAGCCTGCAGTGCTGCATTTAACCACTGCGCCACCTTGGCTCAAAAGCAGCAGTGTCACACTTCTCCCCTCTCTGCTAGCTCCCTTCTTCACATGGGATTGCCCAGTGGCAGAGAGGGAGAAAGGGCCAGCAGAGGCTGCTAGAATTAAGTAAAGAGTGCCACACAGAAATGGGAGCACACAAAAATGCCACCCCCTTTTCCCTCTCCATCTCTGTTGCTGGACAATCCCATATGAAGAAGGGGGATAGCAGAGAGAGGTAGAGTATGAGGTTGCTGCCTCACAGGAACTGCCGATTTTGGCCCAAAAACTTCTCATCTTTAATGATAAGTGAAGATTCAGTGTCACAGCATTCTGCAAGGACATGGATGACACAGAAGATGTGTTGAAATGCAGTAGGGATCTGTATTTCCAGGAGGAGATGGCCATGTACTGCATAAGGATTTGAAAATGATGACCAGCATCTTGAATTGCACCCAAAAAAGAACTAGCTGTGGTACAGAACACTCTTCCAATTCTCATTTAACCAAAGTCCTATGCTATGTTACACTTTGTTAAATTAAGAACTTGACAATCATGATCTACCAGCCTGTAGGAATTGATTGAAAATTAGAATGATAACAATAACATGCACACATACACATATACACACAAACATAGATATACATACAAGAGAGAGAGAAAATTCCATAAAGTTATGTTTAATAAGAGATTATATAGACATAGGCACACATCATATGATGATGTGCATTGCTATTCTAGTAGTTATTAGATTTTAGCCCAGAATGTTTGCTCAGATGTGAAACCTTGAAATTAACTTCATAGACCTTTGCTCTGAACACAAACATTCTAATCCAATCACATCCATCTGATTCACCTTTGGACAAAATTTCCAATGGTTTAAGGTTATAGGGCAAGAGAGTAAACAGTTCACTTTACTTTTTTGAAATGTGATAGGCCAAAAGTCTATTTATTCATGTTCTGGAAAAAAAAATCACAGATATTTCTTCAGCCAAGATTTGTCTTTAACAAAGAAAATGAGCAAATATTTTATTACAGTAATTATTAACAAGTGTCTTTCTTTTGATCTTTCCATATGTACAGGATAAAGTGGGTAATGATTACCCTGTGTGATATAGTATAAAATTTCCATCTGTCCATATGTTCTTTCTACCTTGTTCAGTCTAGCCCCCAAAACAATTTGGAAACATGAAGTGGGTAATATTTGTTTCTTTGCTTTGCTTTCTAAGCTTGGCTGAACTGAAAAACCTACCTAGACGATATCGGAATACAGGTATAGTGTTTTCTGTTGCTCACTCTCAGTTTTTCAGATTTTCATTTGGTTGGTCAGATTGACATTGAATTCATAGTACTATGAATTCAATATCAATCTGAGTCCTCAGGGGACTGTATGTTCCTTCAACAAAATTTTCTAGACTATACCCTAGTTTTTCTTAAAATTGCATGAATCTTTTGCATTTTCAACATAATTTGTATCCAAGAATTTCCCAGTGAATTATGTTTGATTGATAATTTGAGTTGTCTATAAAAAAATAATAGAATACGCAAGAAATATCCCACAATAAATCTAAAATAGTATTTATGTGACTAATGATTTTGAATGTGCATTTTTCATGTCCCAAATTATAGCATTCTTTATTCCAGATCCTGGCATCTCTTTTAATCAGGTATAATCCTGCAAAATTTACTAGATGCTTATAAAAATTATTAAGAAGTTATTTGTTCTGCAGAATTTGTTGATATGTATATGTATATGTATATGTATATGTGTATGTGTATGTGTATGTGTATGTGTATATGTGTATATGTGTATATGTGTATATGTGTATATGTGTATATGTGTATATATGTATATATGTATATATGTATATATGTATATATGTATATATGTATATATGTATATATGTATACAACAAATGGTCGTTGTTGCTTTAAAT